TATCTCCACTTTTGGGACTTTAAAATACAGTGGTGCCTCGCATAGCAATCGCTCTGTTTCATGCCAAAATCGCTTTGTGACGCTGTTTTTGCAATCGCAAAAAGCGATCGCTTAGCGATGTTTCCTATGGGGAAAATTCACTTTGCCATGATCGCATTTTCGGCCAGCTGATCAGCAGGGGCTTTGCGATGATCGCGGGTCTATGCTTACATAGACCAACACAGATACCTTTTCTAAAACTATGAAAAGCACAGATGAAGAATCAGCACCATCTGTTGGATAAATGTGAAAGGACAAGACCTGAGACATTTTGATGGAACAAAAAATGAAAGGAGCAGGGTCTTGCCGAAGATGACACAAATGCTAGAGTAGGCGATACCTTTTCTTGGACCAATGAAAAATAAAACAGACGGCATTTATATCTAGTCAATTACGACCACTCTAGGTGCCGTGGATGGATTGACATACGGATTGCACTCCTATGCCATGTTTCCCCCTGGCAGTAGAACTCAAAGCAGCTCACAAATAATCAAACCTCAAAACACTAAGAACAACATACAAAACACCATTTCAAAAATGATTAAGCATAGAAATACTAAAACCACCATATGAGAAGTTACAAATATAGAAGCATTTAATAACACATTTAAAAGGATATATTGGCAAGTGTAAGGCAGCTTCTTAACTATCATTTGCAGTTCTGATACTCAGGGATGGCCTCTAATAATAAAATTATTCCCCTAAAGAGAAGGAACTCCACCTTCCATGTTGAAAGCACTTCTACTCATTTAGTTTCTATAGCTCTGTAAGAATCCAAAAGCCACAATCGTGCGGGTAAGCTGGCATTTACACAGATCCACCTACCTGCACTGTGGGCTGTTGTGCTCTTCTGCTTTGTGGGGTCATCATGAGACAGCAGGACACTTGATCATACAGCGACTGAGCAACTGCCCTTTCATCATAGAGATTTTCTTGACAAGATTTTGGCCAGAAGCACTTCCTTTCCCATAATAGGTGACACAGAACATTGGTTTGGTCAACAAGAGTCGTTTACAGAGAATATTCTGGTTGTGATACCAACAGTGTTAGGGCTGACCTTTTCAGAAAGCAAGCAACATGGAGCAGCTTCCTTCTCATAGAAGGTTCTAGAAGATGTCCAATTTCTTTCCCATTATCTTAATTTCTACAATTTCTGTCTTTCTCTTTCTCATCTAGACATATCCCAATCGACTACTCCTTCTGAGTTCTCTCTCCGTCCCTAGAGGAGAAAGACAGGTTACTTACCTGTAAGCATGTTTTTTTTTTTTTGAGTGGTCCTCTGTGAATCCACACAATTGGGTTGTACTGCACCCGTGCAGGACCTCTTGGAAATTTCTAGAGCTTAAAGACATGTGATTAGTGGGACGTTCCCCCATGGAGCGCATGCTCCACTCACCTGAAGTCCCCTCAGTTCCTAAAAAGTCCATCGCTGTCAGACAGGAGATTAGAGACGACAATGTGACGGACAGAGGGTAGGATGGGCAGAATGTGTGGATTCACAGAGGACCATTCGAAGAACCATGGTTACAGGTAAGTAACCACTCTTTCTTCTTCATGGTCTCTGTGAATTCGCACAATTGGGTGGCTAACAAGCTCACTTACCGGTTGGAGGACAATGTCAGGAGTGAAGTGAGTTCTGCCATATCGAGCATCATTCTTTGCTCTTACGTCTAGCAGGTAGGGAGAGGGATTTGACCATGTGGCTGCTCGACATACAGTATATTGGAAATGTCTATGCTGTGTTGGAAGCCGGTAGTAGACATGGCTCTGGTGGATTGAGCCTTAAGTATATCAGGAGGCAGTTTGCCAGCAAGCTTATAAGCCATGGGAATGGCTCAACAGGTAAGTAATTTCTCTTTCTTCTTCGTTGTCTCTGTGACTTCAAACAGTTGGGTGGCTCACTTACCGGTGAGCCTTAAGCACATCAGGAGGCAGTTTGCCAGCAAGCTCATAAGCCATGGGAATGGCTTGAACTATCCACCTAGATAGAATCTGAGGTGAGGGTGAAAAGCCCTTATGTGGGCCATGGAAACAGATGAAAAGACGAGGGGCTTTTCTAAATGACTTGGTCCTGTCAACATAAAATGCCAATGCATGGCGAACATCCAAAGTATGGAGCGTGCGCTCAATGTCCGAAGTAGGAGATGAGAAGAGGGAAGGGAGGATTAGAAGTTGATTTAGGTGAAAATCTGATATGATCTTAGGAAGAAAGGAGACATCTGGATAAAGAGTAACCTTTTCTAGATGGAATTGAGGATATGGAGGGTCCAACCTGAGAGCAGCCAGTTCATTTGCTCTTCTTGAAGATGTAATGACTACTAGGAAAAGGATCTTTAGTGACAGAAGTTTGAAATCATTTGTGACCATGGGTTCAAAGGGAGGTTTGATGAGGGCCTTAAGGACCATTTGAAGTGACCATATGGAATCAAAGGTTGGTGAGGACGAATATTGTGAAATCTTTTGAGAAATTTCTTTAGAAACTGGACAGCTGATGGGCTACTATTGCAGCAATGTAGAGTTTCGAAGTGGAATGTGAAAGGCAAGGGAGGTTTGATGAGGGCCTTAAGGACCATTTGAAGTGACCATATGGAATCAAAGGTTGGTGAGGACGAATATTGTGAAATCTTTTGAGAAATTTCTTTAGAAACTGGACAGCTGCAATGTAGACTTTCGAAGTGGAATGTGAAAGGCCTTTATTGAAGAGGTGTAGTAATGTTTTCAATGAGGTAGGTGATGGTGCCAGGCCCTGGGAAGTAGCGTAAGTGAAAAACACATTCCATTTGCAGTTATAGAGAAGTCGGTTGTTACACTTAAACTCTTGTCTAAGTATTACAGCACCACCTTGTGACAGAAACATCAATTTACTTGAAACTGGCAGCCTGTCCCTGAGATCCACCCAAATTAAAACAGAAGGTCGCAGCACCTTCTCCACCAAACAGCAAAAGGAGCTCCCACTGAGGGTCCTTAATGCTTAAAGTTGCTGAATTACTGGATTTTCCCGTTTTTGAAGTTGGAGACCTCTTCCTTATGAATGAACAGCTCAATTGGAACCTGAAGGGTAAATAATTTCACATTTTTGTCAAACTGAATTAAGCAAAGACCTTTCTCTTCAGGCACTTTCCTTTAACGATTGGTTGTCCGGGGAGTAGACCTTTCTCTTCAGGCACTTTCCTTTAATGATTGGTTGTCTGGGGAGTGCTTTTAAATGGAGTGCTGTTCCTTGTTGCTTTGAATCTGTTTTTGATGTTGATTTTGCTTTGAATCTGTTTTGGTGTTAATTTGTTTACCATTTTTAGTATGGTATTTGTCCAATTCTTTTACTGTTTTGGTGTTAATTTGTTTACCATTTTCAGCATGGTATTTGTCCAATTCTTTTTAATTTATGTACAATTACCGTTTTTAGTTTTTAAGTATTGTCTTTTAACAATGCAAGCCACCTTGGATTTTCAGGATGAAAATATTTCCCCCCCAAAATAATAATAATAAACTTGCAGGCATTTCCATGCAAATAAATAGCTCTGTCATTCACTTCATCAAAGACGTAGCTGTTTTCTGTGAAGGGAGGAGTAAGAAAGGGGCTGAGAAACAGAAGCTGCAACCCAGAAATAGGAAAGCATCTTTCTTCCTTCCTTTTTATGAATAAGGAGTGCTCAGCAATATTTTGAAGACCTAATCATATACCTCATCAGACATATGCCCTTTTGCATCCCACCATCCTTAAGTATTTTCAAGTACTTTAAGCCTGCTTGCTTCCCTCACCACATCCAATTTTGAGCCATGGGCAACACTGCTTCCACATTATTATTATTTTGCCCAGAATTACCTTACTCGCAATGTTCATTTTCAGGAAAACCAGATTTTCTCATTGTCCTCCTGGAGTTTTTCCAGACCAGACATCTTGGCAAAATTTTGTGCTTACAAGCATCTTCCAGATGAGGCATCTGCAGGACCTTTAGTTTGACTTCTGCAATGGATACATAAGAACTTTGCCCATGATCAACTTTGCCCATACTTTGTCTAGTTTATATCCCGCCCTCCTGGACTTCCCAGAGTGCTTTCATCCTGCCAAAACTTTTTCCCCAATGCACTTCTAGTTGATGATTGCAAAGATTTATTAGTGCTAAAAACTTTGGTGTGGAAGCGACTCAAGGTTGCACCCATGGGGGTGAGGGAGACAGAACTAGCTCTTTTGGAATAGTGTGCACTAATTTGTCAGACGGCACGACACAGGTTTCTATTAAATTAAGCAGAAGCTGACAAACAAGTGAGCAGAACGACAACACCTATCCTGACCACTGACTAAATTGACTGGGTCTCCTAGTATTAGTTCCCAGCATCTTATATGAATGAGAGTGTTTCTCACTCCATGCTATTTTTGTGAGTCAAGACAATGGTGTCCATTCTCAGTGAAAAACTTTAAGTAATGCTATTTCCAACTCTTGGGGGGGGCATCCACAAAACACAGAAAACATTTCATATAGAACTTACTCTGCTTGTTCAGATGCTTGGACAGACATAAGCTATCCTGCCTCTGCTTAACATGCTGTCCCCCAGTTGGTGAATATCTAAGAATTATGCTCTCTGTTTTCACTTACAAGAATTACAGTTTGGTGGTACTCAGAGTCACAAGCTGGCTTATAATGGAAGATTCAAAGAGGGACATACACTTCATGGTTTACAGAACATATCTCACAGTAAGTATTTTGTTTAAGAAAAAATTTATTCAGATATTTCTATAAAGCATGTCCACAGGATCAGTTCCCCATTTTGAGTTAATTTCATTCAGTGCAAAAGTTAGAAAAGTTAAAAAATCATAACATAGGCACATTATAAGAGTTAAGAATGTCTTTGGTACTACTTAATGTATGCATTGCAGTTCAGTTCATCACAGCAGAGAAACCAGTGTATTGTAAAGAACACTACAAGCTATGTAATAAGAATCGCCAAAAAAATTCAAACCATTTTGTATGGGCCCGTGAAGTTCAAAAGTGCAATTTCCCATGTGTTCTGAAACGTTGATGTAAGATATTCACAGGCTCCATTTTTAAGCCTTCTTACTTGTGTTAGACATCAGTTTCATTTTTAAATAAAATCTAAAGAATTTACTTCCAACCCAAATGTGTGATGTTTTAACAGGATAAAAATTGTGCATTTTGATCAGCAAAATAAGTGCTGTACACCGTGTTGCATTCAAATAACACAGCTTCAGTATCTTGATAAACCACCAAGACATGTGAAAAATATGATACTGAGATTGCATGACATCCGTTTGTTTCCAAACGTAAGATGAGAATACCGGAGCCTTCTGCTGCGTTTATCTCCTCTGTAGAAAAGTTGTACATATCTGTCCTTCTAGCATTACAGGACCATAACAGTAAGATCAAATGGTTCCACAGGCAGAGACCTCTGCCATTCTCAAGCGATCCCAGCTTGCAGTTACACAAGGTTGAGACCAGCCAGCTTGGGGGGGAAGAGTGCTTGCATAAGAAGTAACTAATGCCCCTTTGTGTAATTGGTTTATTTTGGCAACCAAACAAGCAACAAAGCCATTGCACACATGGGAAAGAGAAGCCGCCAGTGTCAACCATTTATGACAAAATGGCAGCCTTCCAAAAGTTACTGGACTACAATTCCCATGACACCTCATCACTGGCTGTGCTTGCTAGGGGCTGATGGGAAGTAATTTAACATAAACTGCAGTACTACACATTCATTATCTCTTTCTTGAGACATGCATTTTAACTGCTAAACACAGATAGCTTTCTTTAAAAATCCTAACACGCCTAACGTGCTTTTACAGCAAAGGGAACAAGTGTGGAGGAGAGACAGGTCTGTAAAATGCCTGATGCATTTTGGCTTGTTGATGGTTCCAAGCCTTCTTTAGGAGCTACAAGGACATCTCTTTTACACATAAAAGGCATATATCTTAATAAATCTTTCAGAACTCGGACCATCAAGCCTGAAGAAAGCCTTCAGATATTAACAGGATAAAAACTGTGCATTTTGATCAGCAAAATAAATTTGTAATACTTTGACACTCATTTCAATTCTCTTTACGAAGGAAGCCGGATTCATCTGTACTTTGATTACAAAGGTGCAACTCTTTAAAGTATTCTTGAATGGTTCCAGTGAAGCCCAGAAAAAATACTTCAGAATAAGATTTCAAAAACTCAAATTCCCAACAGTCCTAAAGGAATCCTATGGTTTGCAAATCCACAACTAAAACATTACCTGAAGTGTGTGTTTTCTTTTTGAAATGGTAGATAGCCAAATAATATCTAAAGAAGGTAGACTCCCAGCAGTGCTAGCAACCTTAAGAAGCCCATAAACATAGCCACATTATTTTCAAAGAAATTTTCACAGAATCAGGATAACAGATCCTTGTATTCCCACTTCTCTCTCTCCCAACATTCAGATGATCACTTTGCTTTCAAGAGAAAATAGCTATACAAGATTAGGCATGTGATTTTCGGGGGTGGGGGTGGGGGGTGAGTGGATCACAAATCTAATACTACTCCATTCTGGGTGTTCCCCATGACAGGCTTATACAGACAGACATTGATCTGTGGCTAACCCAAAGAAAAGGCTGATCAGGGAAGGCTCCGGGACTAGCTCTGCCCTAGGCCTCCTCTTTGAAAAAAGAAGCTCCCAGCTGGCAGCAAGGTAGCTTCCTTTCTGCCCAGGGCAAAACTGTGCAAAGCCTCAAGGCCTCCCAGATAGGCTTCCTGCTTAGGTGAGCCACATTTAGTTGTCTATAGGTGTGGATCTGTCAGGTAAATCTCCCAGAATGGGCAATGATGGGATGTGTAATCCGAAAGTCCTATGCCTATAAGTTTAATAGTAAGGCATTTTCTTTTCTCTAGAGTAGCAGCTGTAATCTTCAGGCCTCCAGAGCCATTCCACGATCAGAATCAACTATTACTGGTGGCACTCATGCAAGATGCAGTGGTTTAGATGCTTATGAGTAATGCAATTAAAATAAAAACAATTCCCTTCACATAGAAAGAAAATAATACTGTATGACTTAAGTAGTAATGAATCCCTTTCCAAGAAGACATATATCACAAAGCAATCGCATTTGTTTCCGGAAGAACTTCTCACAGCTCCCAGCCCGTAGACTTTTCACTGGTATCTCTGCATTAACTGAATTATTTCTTTGTAGACACGCTGAGGGGCGTCAAGGCCCCAGATGAAATCCAGATGTTCCCACTCAGGGATATTCTTGTAGTAAACTAAGTTCGGGACCTGAGTCAGCAACAGGGCAGCATCCTTTGAGTCCGCCAGCCAGTCATGGCCACCAGTCCAGAGAGCAGTTGGGACAGTCATCTCTTTTACTTTGTAGTAAGGTGGTGTTGACTTTAAAAACAAAAACAGAGAGGGACAACAAGAGTTTAAAAAACCATTTGTTAGCACTGCAAAAAACTTTCCTACCTCACAGAGGGGATCTACAGTGAGACAAGAAATATATCTTATCAAGGAGAAGGATCTGGTCAAGTCGGAATCTCATCATGTGCTAGTCAGAAATAAAACCGAATATTTTCCCTCAAATGAATTACAAGCAAGGTTATGAAAGGATGGCACAACTAGAGGAAGCAAAAAGTGGAGGGAAACAGAAGACACATTAATTACTTCATCACACCTTCTAGTTTCTTTTCCAAAGAAGTGTTTGCATCCCATGGGTTTAAGAACATGATTCTCTGAGAAAACTATGTGAACAGTTAATATGTTGGACTGGGAACATCCTGGCTGAGATGTGCAATGAACCATTCAGGAAGGGTAACCTTGGGATAGTCGCTATCTTTCAGCCTGACCTACTTAGCAGGGATATGCAGACGAAGTGGGGAGGAAAGGCAGGATATCAATGTAACGAAATATAAATATTGCTAAGCAGAGTGTGGATATCAGAAGAATCTGACGCCCCCTCTTTCCTTTCTTATTGTGTTTTCTGTTTTGTGTAATGCTTACGAAATATAAATATTGCTAAGCAGAGTGTAGATATCAGAAGAATCTATTGGATAGCACAGCAGTCAAGAGTTAAGCCAAGAGATGCACTCCCCTCTGCCCCAACTAGACTCAAGTTATTTCTGCAATGTACAATTCCAGGAAGAGCAATAGAGATGCCCCCAGACAGAAGAGAAAGCTGTCGTCAACCAAGTTACTGTACAGCTCCTCTCTCTTTTCTGCCTTAGTGGATTTTCTGTGTTTAAGAAAAAAGATGGAAGAAGTAACAGGTATAAATGGGGTTACAAGTAGAATAATGTCTGCTCCCCTTTGTAGAAGTCTGTGATTGAGCCTGGGCAATTGAACAAGAAAAGACACCTCTGGAAGAACTTGAAGAGACATTGAACTTGAAGGTGCCTTCCAGGGGCACCTTAGAAGACTAATCAATTTGCTTCCAGCACAAGCCTTTGAGTCTACTTCTATGAGATGCATTCTAATTTGCTAATAAATATATACTAGTAGTAGTGAGAAAGAATAAAATAGTGAGTTCAGAGGGAGTTCTAATAAATATATACTAGTAGTAGTGAGAAGGAATAAAATAGCGAGTTCAGAGGGAGTTTAAATGCAAAAATGCAAGCAGTGATAACTGTCTTATCAAACATTGTTAAATATATGATTAAAATATTGGGATAACTCAGTGAGCTAGATATCCAGCTGCAGAGCAAGAGGTTAGAAATTCAGCTTCCCAGTGTGTTACTGTTCCCCACTTCGGCAACCTACACAGGCCCTGGATGCCTCCAGAAGAAGCGAATGGTAAACCACTTCTGAGTACTCTCTACCTGGAAAATCTTGGAAGGAGTTGCCACAAGTCAGAATCAACCTGACCGCCTATTATTGTTCTTGTGATGATTGTACCTGATAGGGAGAGCTTAAACAAACTTTGAAGTTTAAAAGGATAAGAAAGAGTGAGGGAGATCAGAGACAGATTGCTATTACAAAATTTAAGTTCACATCTTTCTACAACAACTTTCCTAAACATGGTGACTTCTAGGTGTTATATTTTGCATAGGCATCCTTCAGTCTCGAGAGACTATGGTAACATGCTCTGAATCGAGGAGTGTCCTCTCCAGACCATGAAGCCCGGGTAAGGTAATATGGAGGATAGGCTGTTACCCAAGCAGCAGATCCCCCCTCTCCACATTGCTGAAATGGTCCAATGGAAAGGCAAGAGCCAATACAACTGGTTCCAGCAATGTTGCAGGAGTTGGCAGAACGACACGTGCTGCCTTCGGGACTCCAGCTCCGGATTTTGCCTCTAGGTTAACTCCTGAAGCCTTTTCCATGAGTGGATATAGCCACAAGGCAGTGGAGGTTTGAAATTGGAGTTCTCCTTCTCCTAAGCTGCCCCCAAAATCTCTACATGTATAATTCTGTGAGACAGACAAACAGGCAGCGATTTGTAACGCACAGGAGTGTTTACGTTGGATTTGTGCTTGTAAAACACATGGTCAATTAACATCTTTTGATATCATCAGTACATTTTCTGTGAGTTATCAAATCAGCAGCTGGAGCAGTTGAGAAGTAGTGTGACAGAAAAAGTACACACAAATTGATAAATAAACCTTCCAGTGTTCTTGCATTTTTAAAGCCTTTGTTCTACAAGAGCACAGTATGTATATAATGCACCATTATGCATATAGAGAAGCAACTAGTAGTGAGAAATTCTTACTTGGTTATAGTGAGCCATGTTTTCTTTCTTGCTTCCCCAGTCATAAGCTTTAAACTCCCCAGATTTTGCTGACTGAAAAACAATTATGCCACATTTATAGGTATGTATGCATTGACAAAAAAAAAATTACAATGGTTCCAAGATAGGGAGGAATTGCAAATACTTTGACCAGTCACATCAAAGGTAAGGCTAAGCAATGATGACTAATTCTTAGCCATGGTTTCCAGGTTTCTAGCTCCCAAGGAGACAATTTAGGCCTATATCTTACTGAGATTTTATTGAACAGAAACTCTTTATCAACACAATTAATCGGGGATTCTGCCACTTGTGCAAACACTGCTGTTGCAGAAGCAGTGAATTTTACGAGGGAAATACACCTATTGTTGAGCAAGCAGCATGTTGGAATCATTGCGTAAAGGAGTTGGAAGAGCCATCAAGTCCAACCCTCTGAGCAATGCAGGAATCCAAATCCAAGTACATCTGATGTATTTTCTCTTGAATGCCTCCAACCACTAGAGCGCTCATAAACTCCCAAGGTGATTGGTTCCATTGTCCTATTGCTTTAACAACTAGAAAGTTTTTTCCTGATATTATTCAATGAAAATCTGGCTTCCTGTATCATGAGCCCATTATCACATGTGATGGACTATGAGATAATTGAGAACAGATCTTGCCCCTTCTCTGTCTATCTTCCAAGTATTGGAAAAGTGCTATCATATCTCCCCTCACAGTTGTCTTTTCTCAAGGCTAAACATGCCCAATTCTTTCAGTCTTTCCTTATGAGGCGCAGTTTCCAGTACCCTGGACATCCTTGTTGCCCTCCTTTGAACTTGTTCCAGTTTGCTGGCATCCTCCTTAAAGTGCAATGTCCAGAATGGGACAAAGTACTCTAGATGAGGCCTAACCAGTGTCAAATAGAGGGGGATTGGTACCACATGGGTTTTGGAGACTATACTTCTATTAATGCAGCCTACTGGCATGTATTCAGCTTATGATCTACAACAATTCCAAGATCCTTCTTCATCGCAGTATTATTGAGCCAAGTATACCCCATCTTGTAACTGTGCATTTGGATTTCCCCTCCAGGTGTAGAACTTTGTATTTTTATCCCTGTCAAATTTCATTTTGTTGTTTTTCAGCCCAGTTCTTGAGCCTGTCAAGATCTTCCTGGTTTGTTTCTGTTTTAAGCTATTCAACCCAATGTTGGTTTGTCTGGAAATATGATGAACATTCCCTGCACACTCACCCATCCTACGCCCAGGACTGAGCCTTGTGGTACCCACTTGTTCCTGTGTTATCATGCTGGACACACTTCACATAAGCTTAAAGGGATACCAGCCATAATATGTAAGCCACTCAATAGGGTATGAGATACAAAGAGCCATCTGGAAACAAATATTACCTTTTAAAATATTCTTGAAACACCTAACCCCCCCCCCCCGGCCTTATTTGATATCCTGATAAAAACAGTCATGTTGCCAAGGGTGAGTTTTTCTATAGAAGTTAATTTAACTGGAAGGACTGCCTTCTGAATATACACAGGTATAGCAAGGCTGTGAGAGGCCAAGTGGTGTACCAGTCAGCATGCCACACTAGAACTCAAGAAACGTGGGTTCAAAATTGGGGATATACATTCAAAATCTGAAATATTCAGAATTTACTGAATAATGCCATAGTTCTGAGTATATCAGAATCCAAATTTGATAGTTATTAATATCTGTGATAATAATTGCTAAAATTAGGAGTCTAGTCTACTCCTATACATCAGAAGGCAAAAGGCCAGGTTTCTGTTTGCTAGAGGAAGATGTGAAAGTGAAACCTATTTTTCAGGCATCCTGGAGTGCTTTCTGTAAAAATGAAACTTAAAAGTGAAAAGGCATTCTGCCACCAAGGTAGTGGGGGCAGAACTCACTGTCTCCTGATTAGGGTTGCCATGGGTTTCCCAAGAGAAGGGGGCTGGGGTGACCGAAAAACCTGTAAATGATTACTGTCTGCACCAATGAAATCTAGAAGCAGACAGACACCAGAAGGTAATTTTTCACATAGGTGCTTTCCAATTGAAAACTGGTCATAGTAAAGGTAAAGGTTCTCCTTGACATTTTCGGTCCAGTCGTGTCCGACTTTAGGGGGCAGCGCTCATCCCGCTTTTCAAGCCATAGAGCCAGCGCCTGTCCGAAGACAGTTTCCGTTGTCACGTGGCCAGCGTGACTAGGGAACACCGTTTTACCTTCCCACCGAGATGTTACCTATTTATCTACTTGCATTTACATGTTTTTGAACTGCTAGGTTGGCGAGGAGCTGGGACAAAGCGACAAGAGCTCACTCCGCCGCGTGGATTCGATCTTACGACTGCTGGTCTTCTGACCCTGCAGCACAAGCTTCTGCAGTTTGCTATTAGGATATGCTCTGGTGCAAGCCCGTGCTTCAGCGATTTTCTTGATGTCCTTTTATCAATCCAACTTACATTTACATTCTCTACATCTCATTGTATACTGTTTATTTAATACAGCTAGGAATAAGATTTAGGGTTAGTCGATTCATAAATTAATACAAGAAAGTGCTCAAGCATGCTTAGGACTTGAGCCGTCTCTCCAGCAGTAGCACGTTTAGCCACCTGAATGCTCAGCACAAGGCAATACTGCTGGCAAATGAAGTTAGTACTGTGGAGACAAGTGGCTTCCTTACTGAGAAGGTTAAAAGTTATCAGAAGGCAGAGATTGAGCCACCAGTCTAGGGAGACAGGGACGTAAATGGGCAAATAGCAAGAGGTGGGAGGCAACAACTGCCAGACCCACCTCTCAAGAATAAATTCCATGTTATCATGGAGAAGTTGGAGGGATGCAGGGAAAGGCCTTCTGCAAACGTAAAAATGCCAGGATTACTCAGTACCTGGGGGGAAATAGCCCTGGATGACTGACCTCTCTCTGTGGTGGAGAACACTGGTTTCCATAGGTTTGTGGCAGAACTACGCCCCATTACCAATTGCCGTACCAAATAAGCCTTAGCCACAGGGTGGCACCAGATGCGTTCAGCAACTTGTACAGTAGCAATTGGCCATGGAAGAGGTGGTAAATTTTTACAAATGACATCTAGCACATAGGGTGCAAAGCATTCCTCTCTCTCTTTGAAAGGACACTAGTAGCGGTGGAGGCATCAGGCATAGGGCAACACACAAGGGCAGGATACTATCACGTCTCCATTTTAGAGGGACAAACAATCTAACTGAAATGAATCTAAATTAAACAAAGTATAAGGAATAAAATAAGGGACTAATTATTAGTCAGAAATAGACTCACCCCATCTAGTCCAAGGAACTGACATAAACACTGATTTAACAGGTTCAATTCATTCATTGGGCCTACTCTACAGTTGAAGAGAGCTATGGTACAATAAAATACCTCCGCCAAAAATCAAGCCCTCTTTGCTAAAACATCCACGCTTCTAAGAAATTCAGCACTTATGTACTGTATGTACAAATGAACCAACTCATCAATGAGCTTCCTTTGTTGCTTCTGAAGCAGAGCTTAGAAAAGCTACTTTTTTAATCCTGTCTACTACAATCTCCCAGATGGTGTTTCCAGTTGCTTTTGCCCTTTCAGTGCAGAAATTGATGTTATTCTTTACCACTTGTTCCTGTGAATGCAACCACCCATTCATGAGTTTAAAATTAACAGCACATGAAGTTTTTAATCAGTTTCACAATTTAGGGTTACCTGACGCCAGTGAAGCATATTCTGGACAGATGTTCCAGCTGGGCAGTGTGTTGAGTATACATCAACTCGACTCTGTAACAAGCAACAACGCTGTTAGCTAAATGTATCATAAAGGGAGATTACCTTATGTCTTCACACTGGGTTTGTTGAGCAGAAGAGTTGAATATGTGGATGTCATAAGGACAGCTAACTTTATTTGGAACACAGTAATAATTAATAATCCAAGGCAGACTTTTCAACATCACAGTAATCTAAATTTATGCACCAACCACCCATGCTGAAGAGGCTGAAACTGACCAATTCTATGAAGACTTACAACATCTTCTAGAACTGATACCAAAGAAAGATGTTCTTGTCATTATAGGGGACTTGAATGCTAAAGTAGCGAGTCAAGAGATAAAAGGAACAACAGGGAAGTTTGGCCTTGGAGTTCAAAACAAAGAAGGGCAAAGGCTAATAGAGTTTTGTCAAGAGAACAAGCTGGTCATCATAAACACTCTTTTCCAACAACACAAGAGGTGACTCTACACATGGACATCACCA